ACCAAAGTATCTTGGAATAGTATCCACTTTGTTAAATTCTTCAAGGTTAAAATTCTTGACAGTTTCAATAAACTCTTTATGTTCTTTTTTGTAGATGATTCTCTTAGACTGGAGGTTTCTACTGTTATTCTTCTTTGTAATTCTACCTTTCTTAAATGTTCTTCTCTTTGTTGACAGAATTGATTAATATCTTGTTGAATTTGATGTAAGAAAGTTTGAACTTCTGGTCCAGTTAATTCAGTTTCTTCTTCTAATAATTCTGCAAATGCTTCTCTTGCTGTAGTTAATGTGTGTTCGTGGATTATTTCTTTATGAAATGCTTTGAAGCTATCAAAAATAACTTTGAGGTCTTTTTTAGAATATTATTCTGCTATTAATACTCCAATAACTATTTCTTGAAATAATCTTTTAACTTCAATATCAGTTGATTTTGTGGAATCCAGATTGAAAAAGGTTTGTTTGTTGATGATTTGTTTTTGTTCTTTCACAGAGAATTCTTAATCCAAGTTTAATTTTCTTTGGTGCAATACTTTTACTAACAGAGGATTCTCTGTTCAAATACGTTTTGATAATGTAAAGTTATTTTTTCCATAGAGGAAGCATCAAAATCTGTTACCATTTTTATTGATGTTAAGTTCTTGATGTATTAATCACGTATTTTATTAAGATAAGAGCGAAAAAGATTAAGTTTTTATAATGGAAGAGACTAAGATTTATCACTAAAGGTAGATAACATGTGTTCTTGTTGTGACAAGCTAGAATGATGTTCAATAACTTCACTAAGTTTTGTATATTATTTAGAATTTCAAATGTAATGATACAAGTAATAAGTTTTATCAAGCAACTATTTTTCAAGTCAATAATAATGGTTTATTATAAGCGATCTATCTTTCAAGACCAAAAACCAATACAAATATAATTTTATAAGTTATCCAAAAGTTTCTATCAAACAAAAAACTAATTAACTATTTAACTTGATTACTTTTCAACTTGATTCTGATTCTAAGCTAAGATACATGATATATTTATATAAATTACATGTTATGCAATATAACTGGTTCTATTATTGTTGTCGTTAAGTTAATTAAACACAAGTATTATTGGTGTTTCTGGTGTTAACATGAGTGTTGATGTCATTATTATTATTGCTGTCATTGTTGTCATTGCTGATGTTAACACAAACTTAAGAATTAATAATATCTAATATATAATTGTCCAATAAAATAATAACTATCTAAAAATAACTATCCAATAGAAATATAATCCAATAATAATTAATATAAATCTTATCCAATAAAATTGTTCGTTAAATGTCATATCATGACAATATAAGTAATTTACAATAATAATGATAATAGAAAAAGTTATCACAAAAAAATCAAAAATCTGAAAGAAATTAATAACCAATTTTAATAATTAATATATTTGCAAAAAAGAATATATTCTATTAAAATTAAGCTTAATGATTATGTTCACTAAAATAAAGTAACTATATTTTTGATTAATTATTATATAATTTATTTTTTCAAAATGAATATACAAAAATTCATTTTTGGCTTTTTGTTAAATAATAACTATTATAGTCAAATCTCTCTATAGTCACCATTCTTGAAAAAACAAAATTTGGTGACTATAGAGAGGATGTGACTATAGAGAGATTTTTTTTACTATGTTTATATATAAATAGGAAAGCAAAATAGAGTGACTATAGAGGGATGTGACTATAAATGGGTGTAATTATAGAGGGATTTGATTATATAACATTGTATTTATATAAATAAATAATAAATATATTTAAACTATTATATATTACTTTAATTAAGTTATTAAAATGATGAATTTGTTATAAAATTAAAAGATTTTTACTTAATAAATATAAATATTTATATATATAATTATTAGAATTTATATATATTTGAATATTAATTGATTTTTTTCTAAATTTCTATATATATATTGTAAGTTTTCCTTTGCATTATAATTAATTAAAAAATATATTAAAATAAGATTAAATAATATGTAATATATATTAAAAATTATGTAATTTCTAATTATATGAGTTTCAGCTTCATTTTAGCCACAACAATAATTAATAATTAGTAATTCATATATCTAATTATTGTAAAAAAAAATAGAATTAATTCTATCACATGTATATTTCATATTATATACAATAAAAAACTAGCAAATCTATATATTATGCTATAATAATCTATTATTTCATATTAAATACAAATTTGTGAATCATTTTTAGAATTTTTCTTATATATTTTGAGCTCAATTTAATATTAAAAAGGAATTCTCAGTATCTTGCTATAAGATCAAAATTATCTTAATGCTTCCGATTCTTCTTAATTCTTGTGACAAATTCAAACAAGTAACAGCAATTCAACTTCAAGAAATTCATGATCAATACAATAAACTCTTTTAGAGATCTTAATCATTTAACTATCAAGCTAACTCTTGTCAATCAAGTTAGTCCTTACCTTTCAATACCTCCAAACAATTTGACTCATTGAGAATATCCTACACTTCTCTTGTGGCCTGTGATTATCTTCCATTACAGGCAACCAGTATATTGCAAAAATACAATTAGTCTTTTGCGCAACCGGATCTTTGAAAAGACGGCCCGTGCTTCCTTGTATTTGAAAACTTGATATGGAAAAGTATTCAGTTTGTAAGACTATCTTTATGATTTCAATATAATATAATAAAACAACTAGTTATCTTGATAGAAATGGTCGTGTTTACTAAATTGTAAATTGTCGCATGAGCATATTATCACTGTTAATATTATTATTGACGAATAAAATAGAAAATTGTTTTTATAAATCGGACTTTTTACCAATTGTAACAAATTTTTAACAAGGAGTTTTACAAGCTAAAAAAACCGATTTAAACCGGCGCCCTAAGACCGATTGAACCGGACCGAAATACGATAAATACAATTTATAAACAATGGATGGGTTTGTCAAATGTGATTTCGATATTTCAATTATATCCAACTAAAATATATATTAGACGTTCTGACAAAATTAAACTTAGTTTCATGGTTCCTAGCCATACTAAATTTATTCGTGACTCGGAACAATTTAGTGTTATGAGCACTATTAATCAATGAAAAGATGTAATTATTATATTTTGAAACTTGAATCTTATTCTGTTAAGAATATTCATCCGTACGTATATGACCTTTATTGTGAAAAGTTTTTAGTTATCGGCGCAACATTTTTCCTTGCTGAGGAAATCAATCAAATCAAAATTCTTCAGTAATAGAAATTATTGTTAAAGGTCACTTTTTTTGGTGTACCAAGCATCTGTTTCCCGTATTTTTACATTTCATTTTTTGTGTCAAATTTTTTTATGAATTTTTATTGGTTTGTGCCACCAGCAACACGTGAACTGATCCTTTTTTTGTCATGGCTAGGGTACTTCCACCAAAAATTAGAACACGTGATATTTATACAATAAAATGGCATAACCAGTAAAAATACTCAGTCACGTAGTACTTATCCAATAAAATCACAAGATCATGTGTAACATGAAAATTCAAAACAAGCGATAAAAAACGGAAAAATGCAAATAACTTGGAATTCTACAACCACCTTTTAGCTTTTAAGTGAAAATGCTCAGCGTGAAATTTTAGATACAATAACAAACTTGGATTGCCAGAAAACAAAGATTAACGCTTTTTTTTTTGACCTGCCCACTACAACTGTTACAAATACATTTATTCCCAATCAGAACTATTATAATTTATGACATAATTTTCAACCAATAGAACTTAAGTATGATGACCAAATTTAACTTGAGCTCAAAAAATCTTGACATTCGAATAGTCATTCTATTGCGAAGCTTTTTTTGTATTGTTGAAAAGTCACTAAAAGTTGATGGCTTACAGTGGCACGCATTGTAATAACGATGTCATTATTATGTATATATTTACTAACGCTAACTGCTGGATGGAAAGGTAATGTGCCACAAGAAAACTTGTACAAACTGTAACGGAAACGGTAATATGTTACCACGCAACAATAATTTTGCTATATACGAATAGAATTTGTATCAGTAAAGTTCAAGGGATCCTCTAACCTCTTTTTTAGCTTGATAACGCGCAAAGTAATAGTGTAAAAAGAACTTCGATAAAGTTTCTTCGAGCACATTTATTTATTTGATTACATATCTCAAATTTAGGATATAAAACTCATTATCGTATCTCCTATTAACGTAACAAGTAACGTACATTAGACACGAGTTCTCTCTCGAAATGAACGTTTTTCACGCCACATGAACAATGGGAGTTGGATTTCCAATCTGCGACCGTAGTTACCAAGAACAGTAACAATACAATGATAATAGAAACTGGATAAGTTTTTTTTCTTTTTCGAAGAAAATGCAACGTTCATCATCACTTCCAAAACCAGAATGTTAAGGGACAATGTCGGACCGAAACTGGTTTTTGTCAATTCATGGTGTGAATGCCAATTTATTTTATCTTTTTTAGCTGATGGCTGAATTTTTAATATCATGCATTCTTGAATTAAATTTTAATTACCGTTTCTAATTCGTCATCATATTTACTGTATTTATGTATAATATTTGAATTGGAAATTCATAAATTAATTGCACAGTACAGTATAACGCCCCGAGATGGGATCAGAAATATGAAATATTACATATAAATAGAGAATTAAATGTCAGACATTCAAACTTGTAAACACAATCAGAAACAAATACACCATCTCTTGGTCTCATCTGCTAAGAGAATTTTAATTATTTTTTCTTGAAATATCTTGGCTATTTCATTCATAATATGCATAACGCATAATCTATCAGCAAAAAAAAAATCAAGCGGCAACCGGCGTAGACATTACACAACTGAACCGTCATTATATAAATATCGAATTTCTAGAATCAAAGAAAAACACTCGTGTGTTTCTTGAACCAACCGATTTCAACAATAATAAAAACTCCAAGACACAAAAATAAATTCAAATAGAATGCGACTCTCGTCGCCTTCGTCTTGTCCATTCTGTGAAGTGGATCACACAGACAATGGCGATTTAAAAAATCGTATAGTATTTCAAGATGAAGAAATCATCGTTTTTCATGATATGAAACCTGCTTCAAGCATGCATTTGTTGGTGATTCCTCGAAATCATATACGTAAGTTTTGTCTTTTTTTATTTTCGTTTTAATTTATAATTTCGTAGAGTAAAATTCGATCATTCAATTCCTTATAGCTGCAAATGTAAAATCATTAACGATCAAGGATAAACCTTTATGTAAGATTTCATACAACTTTTAATGTAAAAGGTTAAATTTCATTTCACTTATCAAGGATACATTTTTACTATTTAATAGTACAACACATGATAAAAACCGGACGAAATATATTAAAGCAAGCTAAATACAGTCGAAAAAATATTCGGTAAATATTTAAGAATACGTGAAATTTGAATTACATTTTATCCAATCCATTCATATATCTAATCTAATCTAATTTGATTTTTCCCTCAAGGCTGGGTTTCCATATACCACCATTTCTAACAATCAACCACCTACATTTACATTGCCTCGGCCTCCCCTTTCGTAACAAACTAGTCGGTATAAAATACGTGAACGGATCTCTGTGGTATAAGAGTGCAGACAAAATCATGAGGAGATTAAATGGATCAAAGCGTTCTAGAAAATCGAAAAGATTGTCTAAAAATGAAGAAAGTGGAAGTGATGTTGAATCGCGGAGGGAAGTAAGCGAGAATGGTACGGGTGTTGAATCGCGGAGGGTAAGCGAGAATGGTACGGGTGTTGAATCGCGGAGGGAAGTAAGCGAGAATTGTACGGGTGTTGACGATGATGGTGGGGAAGAGCAGCAACAAACACAAGGACAATTAGAAGAATCAAATAGTCATAGGGACATTTCATGAGATTTTTATTAAATGGTAGTTGCATAAGATAAAGAACAATTGTATATCAGCAAGCATTTTCTATATACTAACATCAATTACCAGAATTCAAATCTCGCAAGATCAATATTTCTATACTTGTTAAGCTGTAAGCATAATTATAAAAAATGTAATTTTTCATTATTCTTTATTATATGATTTTAGTAAGATGGGGGGGGGGGAGAAAAAGGAAAACAAATATTTTGATTTTTGCGTTTCTGAGATATGCAAAAAATAAAATCCTTCGCCGACTCCTACACACATATATTTTTGAATTAATACAACTTTGATAACAGTTATTCAGAAAAAAGGGAAAAGTTCAATTTTATGGATATCGGATGAATGATTGCTCAAAAATTACTTAAAATATATCGATAAATCGATAAAGCCGAAACAAACACATTCATCTTAAAATAATAAAAAAGACCACAAAATTCGTGTAGTCAATTTATTGTCTATGAATTCCTGATTTTCTATCAATGCACAACAAGGAATATCAGCCATGACGTTTCTTCGAATTTGAAGAAAAACAGGTTTCAATCACCCGACTTGTATATTCTTTCCCAATTGTACTACTTCTCAGCAATTCTTGATTCTCCATTTGCCATTCCTCCACAAACTCTTTGTTCCCGCCTCGTTCTATAAACTCGGTTAAAGTTTGAACCACATCATCTCCATCTTTTCCAGGCACGTGACACAAAACCAATGCATAACATAGATAAGTGTCGAGGTTATCTCGGTCAGCATCTAAAGCCCTTTTATAATATTTTAACGCGTTATTATGTAATTCGGGTTTATTTTTCTCCATTGCGGCCAACGGTAACAAGGACATTGTGAAATTAAGTGACGCAAGTTTCTCAAGGATCGCAGAATTTTTCGGTTCAAGTTCTAATGCAAGTGTAAATGATTTGATCGCGAGATCAAATAATTCACGAATTTTTTCCTGTCGCTCCGGTTCGTGATCGAGTTTACTCATCACAACGGATTTCATAAGCGTATTAGCGTATTCGGTCAACAAATCTCCTCGATCACAAATAGCCTCAACATTCGCGGCATCTTGTTCAATAACACTGTTCATCTTCTGAGCAGCAATTTCATAGAGCCTTTCTACTTGCTCCATGCTACCTGTTTCGGCAAATGCACGTTCAGCTTGTGACGAATATATATTTGCCCATTGATGCTGAATTTCCGATTCTTTTGATGGTACATCAAGCTCCAATGCGAGCTCAAGCTTTTGTATTGCCTGTATATAGCATTTTTCGGCGTACTCGAGTGATTCAACAAGAGCTGCAAGACACGACAATGTATGAGCAATCGAAATTAGCGTGTCAACTAACGACTCGGTGGTAACTGGCGTTATTTCTGTAACTTCTGCGATTACTTGTTCACCATCGCTTGAAGCTTGGTTTCCTTTTTTTTTCAGATTCAAATTTTCAAATGCAGAAATCAAAGACGTTGACGACCCAACACCTGGACCACTGCCACCTGATGATGTAGTCTTCAACGATTCAGTATTTAACACTTTATCATTTCCGGATTCATTATTTTGCGGTGGTTTTGAATTCATCAATTCTTTTTGCTGTAGTACATAAACTCGTTCAAATGACTGCACAGCTTCATTATACGACGTAATCGCGTCATCTAATCCATCGGTATCTCGCTCTCTAATTACATCCGCCTGACTGGTTAACGCCTGAGCCAGGTTAAACAACGCATCAGCATTATCCGGATCCATCACAAGAGCAGCGCGAAACTTTTCAATGGATTGCGCGAGAAGCGAGAGCTTTAGTTCTGGCGGCGAATGAGACGGAACAAAGTTCACGAGAATATAAAGAATTCGACCCCTATTATATGTTTCGAGTTGGGATATATGAATTAAATTATTATAGGCGTACCTCACAAACAAAAACAAAAGACGAGAACAATTCAAATTTTTGCGCGGTATTTTAAGAATAAAGCGCGATATGAGAAGATTTCATCGAGATCAATCAATGGGCTAACCAATTATATAAGCAATCCGCGTCATTGGGTTTCTTTTCGTATGCTTTCGCGTAAAGTTCTCGTGCTCGTTCATAGAACCGTTCTGCTTTTTCGCCCGTTTGATAACACTCACCTATTCATGTGTCATATAGTCATACACAAAAACAAACTTATATTCCAGCAAATAATAAAGATAAATGTGTAATCAAAAAACAAACCTTTCTCTTCCTGCTTAACACCCTCTATTAGAGTAAACGCAAAAGCAGAGAAATAAATGTAAAATTTCACATATGCACTTTCCCAAGTTTTATAAGCAAATAAAACAGACCTTCCATTAGTTCTTCGAATGTTTCTGGTTCTTTAGCTTTATTCTTCCCCTTCGAGTTCTTTTTGGCATGTTCTTTTCCTTTAGGCATTATCGGAGAGGTTTTGGCGTAAAACAATCAAGATTGAGGCCAAGATTTATGATTGGCTGTTAAAATTAATTTATGAATAATATAAATTTAGTAAAAACTTATCACTATATTGTCACTATCACTATTCTTTCTTTTTTTTTAGGGTTAATCAAATGATTTCTTTTTATGACGAACTCGAAATCGGTAAGAACCACTTTTCTTTTACTGTGAATTTTTACATTTTTGTCACCCTCATTAATTCGAACCAATAAACAGAAGATTTTGAATTTGACGAGGAGACACAAATATATCATTATCCTTGTCCCTGTGGAGATAGATTCGAAATCACCGTGGTGAGTAGATAAATCGCCATTTATTAATTTGCAAGAGATCAATGATACATAATAATTAATTTTAATGATCTGAAGGCTGAGCTAATAGATGGTGAAGAAATAGCAAGATGTCCAAGTTGTTCATTAATGGTGCGTGTTATTTATGATCCGGTGAGTCTATTCATTCAATTCCTGCCTTTTTCTTTGTACCCTCTACCTGTCTTGTTTTTAATTAATGAATTTTTATTTGAATCAGGACGACTTCCAAGATGGAAACACATAGATCTCACCAAGGAACAGGTCATCACTATATAAATAACAAAAAAAATATGAGCATTATTATTATGGATAATAGTACGGGGGTAATGGAGTTTTCTTACTAATGGGATGGTTAAAATAAAAATTGTTTAATGGTGAGGGTTAGCTGGTTCGTTATTAGTGAGACGAGGGTGGGATTCAGTGTATGCTTTATAATTTATTTGTCTGCTTGCGTTGCAATTTCTTAATTTCAATTATTTAATATCGATCGATAACTTGTATAAATAGCCTTTCGTTTCGAAGGTAAATTGATTTAATAATTTGATTCACACAATGTTATCACCAAAGCATGTTCTTTATAATAAATAGATTAAATAAATATTTCATTTTCTTTGGAAGGAATCGCTTGCTATTGAAAAAAAAAAAACATTCGACTGAATGTAAGAACAAGGTAATAACATATTCTAACAAAAAAACTATATGTACAGAAAAAAATATAAAATAATTAAATTGTGTGTAGTCATATTGCCATTAACAAATATATATGTAATACTAATAATTAATACTCATGGCCTAATTATTTGATTAATAAAGTCTTGACCATCGCAGATTATACATTCAACTGGAATCCTTAATATCCATCTGACTTAATCCACTCATCAAGTCTTGTAATTGAGCTTGTTCTGTATTCTCTCGATTTTTGCTTTTTGCTATTTCTAATTGATCGTATAATGAAGGTATCACTCGGATATTATTATATTGACCGGCAGCAAATGATCCACCAATACCTCCAAAATAAGACGATTGATACTGATTATTTTGTAGCTGCTGTTGCTGTTGCTGAAACTGATGATGATGTACATTAGAAACAATTAGATCTTGAAACATTGTCGAGTTCGCTCTTGAATCAAAGCCAACTATCTCATGATAATCAATTTGTCCATTGTTATTACTATTATTATTATTATTGTTGCTGTTGCTGTTGTTGTTGTTGTTAGTATTAGTACATTGATAGTAATAGTCATTCAGGCTCCCAGTCATCATCATCATCGATCCATTATACGCAACTCCATTTAAAATTGGTGAAGATGGACATGATTTTGGTCTTGACGAGGAATTACCGCCAACATGAGCAAGTGTTGGAGTAGATGCACCAGAAGAGAAAGGTGAAGGTGAATGTGGCGATTGTGTCAACGAATAATTAGCGGCACCAGGAGCAATATAATGAGAGGATGATTGTTGTTGCATGTAATCATTTCCATTATTATGATAATAATGTGAAGTGAAAAAGTATTCAGGTGTTTGTTTATGTAATTCACTATTGTGATATTGTTTAGCGGCATGCATTACAAATACGTCTTTTTCTGGAGATTCACCGAGTTCAAGAGGTGTTATTGGTGTCATTGGACTGGCAATTGGACGAAGAGCTGGAGTATTTACAAACGCTGGAGAAGAAAGATAAAAAAAGGTGAGTCAAATTGACGATAATACAATATTATTAAATGTTGCTGTAAATGAAATCAGGACAACCTTCTTTTTGTTGTTGTATGTGTTGAATCCTGTCTTGTCGTGACATGGCATTGTAATTTGCTGTCATTGTTTAACGTTATGTTTTATTAAATTTCTGGGTAAAGAATTAAATACAATAATGCTTCTTATGGATTAATTTATTAAACGGTTTTGGAGTTAATGCATTTTTTTTGTTTTCATACTGCAAGCATTTTGGCCCAATGTGTGTTGATGTTATGTTTATGTCTGGGATGAGGGGTAGACGCTCGAGCATATCAAAAATCTCCTTTTCTCCCTTTGTGCTAAAATAAATTTATACAATCGTCATAGTTAGAACTCACCCCCAACCCCGACGATCTTTTATATATATATTTTAGATCTAATAAAGATAGTTATGGTTGATCATTTTTATAATTTATGGGCATTTACTATGCTAATTGGTTGACCGCACACCGGATCTTCTAAATCAACCATAAATTTTTGATCATCACGGCAAAACAAATCCGGCACAAGAAAATTAAAAAGGCGAATAATGTGAAAAATACGGAAAATGAATGGGTAAACTCGGCTTGAAGCACTAATAAAAAATGTCGAGAAGACAATTTTACATGTAATGTTTTTTTTCCAGTTCTAACTTAATCCTTAATTCTAATGCTAAAACGAACCTTTAATATCCTCAACCAATCAAAACTTGGAGAAAAAATAAGTTAATACATCATTTTTATTTAATAAAGAGAAAATTTTGTTTATATGTTAAGCTAAAACAAATTGTTGAGTATAAATCATAAGATAAAAGAAATATTTTAACAAATGAAAATATTATAACAAAGTTATTATATTCCAATATTAAATTTTTTGACTTATTTTTGAGTAATAAATATTATATCTAACAAAATTATGGAATCACACATGTGATTTTATTAATAAAATATAATAAAATTAAAATTTTTATCTTATATAAAAGTTTTTAATTTTATTAATAACTATTTTTATTTTTATATCAAAACAAAGATTAAAAATTATATTTTAACATAAAGTAATTAACAGAATTATAGAATTATGCATATAATTGTGTTAATAAAATATAGTGAAAATTAAAATTTTTGTCTTATATAAAAGTTTTTAATTTTATTAATAAGTATTTTTTATTTTTATATCAAAACAAAGATTTTAATTTTTACTATAAAATTACATGTATAATTTATAATTTTATTAACTACTATATATATAGTAACAATTAGAAATAATGCAATAATGTTAAAATTTATTAATTAAATATAATAAAATACAGATTTTTTTCTTTATATAAAAGTTTTCAATTTTATTAATAAATATTTTTTATTTTGTATTAAAATGAAGATAATATTACATATTTTAACATATATTTTTTTTAGATTTAATCTAATAAAGCTATTCTAATATATAAAGTCAATTATTTTTTTATAATTAAAACATATAAAAAAATAATTGTTTTATATGCAATTAGAATAACTTTATCAGATTAAATCTAAAAAATTTGGAAAAATATATATGATATTATCTTTATTTTAATATAAAAATAAAAAATATTTATTAGTAAAATTGAAAACTTTTATATAAAGAAAAAAA